ACAGCCAATCAACTGCAGGAACCAAGGAAGGCCGTATGACTATGGGCCGCTGCTATGCTTTCCATTAACAAATAAAGTGAGCTGGTATGGATGGGCATGTTCTTGTCATTAAGAGAAAGCTAAGAAAGAACAAGAGCAAGTCTCCATGATTTACAGGATAATGTGTGAATCACTGTTTAATAGCCAAGTTGATGTGGCTCACAGCACTTCTCAGTGGAAAGTGAGAGGAACTGCTGAGAGAGGAAGGTGGAGTGTACAGAAAAAAGGAGAACAGATCCCTAATTGGTATAAATCATCAGAGCTCCAGGGAAGTCAATAGCACTCTTATGATGCCCTCCAGCTGGGAACCTGGCCCAGCATTTCACCCCCATACATACCTCCCAGTATAGACAAGTCATGCCTGCTCTTGTTGAGAACCAGATCTGGGACCCTGCCCCCAGAAGACAAATAATGACTTACCTCATAGGTTGTTTAGATCCTTTATAACCTATAGAGAGCAGTGTGAAAATCATGGGATGTCACAGGACACTAAGATGCCTGCTCCTTTAAGGGCAGAAACTGCCTAGAGAGAGGGCCCTAGCAGTCAGGCAGGAACCCACAGGTGCAGGTTACTGTGGCAGCAGGCTAATGAGGGAATTAGCCTGCACCTGCAGGAGGGCAGCTGACCGGAAGAGGCAGGGGCCTGGGCGCACACAAACCCCAGGGCTGGGACTAAAGGGTTGGCTCTCTGTCAGCAGCCAAGGGGGAAGGAGCTCTCATAGAAGAAGCTAACTAGAGATGTTTGACTGCCTGTTCTGCTTCTGGTAGGATTAAGGGGGCTCCAGGAGCTCACCAGGGACCCTGGCCTGCAAGGCACTTATTCCTGGGTGGGGAAGTTTGATTCTTTTAAAGGGGCAGAGTACACCCTGAACTGCTTATATTGTTATAGCCCAGGGGCTCATATCTTGGTTGTTGTTTATAGACTGGTGGATCAGGCTGGAGCTATTGGGGAAGGAGGCGGCCTCATTGGGGGCCCACTACGATGCGGGGACTCCAGCGCCAGGGGTGTGGTGACAAAAAGGGGTGAGCAGACCCCAGTGCCAGTGTGGGTGCAGAGACAGGGCTGCGGAGAGCCCAGTGATGACTGGAGGCCAAGCTAAACTAAGGCCTTGGAGGGACAATGTGTAAATATCATCTGTGAGGCTTGGGGCATGGTAAAGGGGTGGTTTTGGAGCCATGCGTCTAGTCCATAAGGCTGAGGATGTCCTGTGAGGCATCCATTTTGCAGCAGGACCCAAAAGGGGTCCAAGAACCCACAGGGTTCAGTGGGGTCCGTCAGGACCATGTCTAACTACACACTCGAGGGCAGCCTCCCTATTTTTTATAATTACCAGCAAGACATGGCAGACAAGAAAGAAGGTGCCCATTGAGCAGGATTGGCACAGTCCAGGAGCCCTAGGAGTATCATGGCCATCCCTGGGGACCCCATCCTCTGACATGGGAAATTATAAAAATGTGCTGATGGAAACAGTGTTTATACCCCATCTAAATCACAAATTAGTATTAAGCAATGACTCAAGCTGAGTATTTCATGACAGATCAATAAGCTGAATGAATTGACAGTACTGAAGATTTGCAAGCATTTTTAGGTGAAACTTGGTGCAACATGAAGGAAATGTAATACCCTCAGAATCCCCAATGAGATTTCCACCACTTTGGGCTTACATTTAATTTCAGAAAACTTTTCTCTCCTTTACAACTGAAAATCATAAGTACAGGTTTGAAGCCAACACTTTCAAGTTTCTAATAGTTTCAGAATTCAGGAACCAGTTTTGGCTCATCTCTTGTTATTAGGAAAGCCACCTAAAATGCTATTAAAATAAAAAAACCCACACAAACTACCCCTAACCATCAAACCACCTTAAGAGAGCTCTGCAAAGCCTGGGAGGAACCTGTAATCTCATCACATGAAATGCAATTATCTCAAACTTTGAGGCTGATTCTCATCCCTGTTAACTGTTCTAAAATGAGGAATTGTATTCCTCTGGCTTAATAAACTCTTCCCATTTAATGATCGCTTAGGTTATTTGCATACTTCTAACCATACACCATACTTAAGCAAACTGCTAGGCTATCAAACTCCATCTTTTGCATAAACAAAAAGTAAAGACAGAGATGCAGAGAGAGAGAGAAATACCTTTAAGGGAAATTTTGTACATGTGAAAGAAGTTGAGAGAATTGATTTTTTTTTTGCAATCTAGCATTTGGATCTCTCTAAATTAGATTGGCTTATGCTATGTTGTTAACAGTAAAAGAATGGGATGTGGACAAGGATATATTACATTGTCACATTTTCAATTATTTCTTTTGGAATCCCCAAACAATGTCCATCCATTCAACCCAGAGCTGTGCAACTACCTACGCGACTGGAAACTGAATACTCTGCGGGCCACATCGGCAGGGGCTGCACACCCATGGGTGGCATGAGGGTGAGTCGGAGGCCCCTGGGCTGCACACCACTTGGATGTCTCCTCCACCCCCCTGCTGCAGTGTGCACTCATGCCCTGCACAACACCATACACCTGCACCCTCCCCTCTGCTGCACGGTGCACCGGCATGGCCCCAGACTCACCCTCAGCTCGCTGGGCTGCACAGCCCTTCCCCTGGTGCAGGAGTAGGCACCAAAAGCCAGAGGAGGGAGGGGGAGCCCAGACACTCTAGTTTCTATTGCAGCTGGAGCCAGGAGAAGAGTGGTGGCTGGGCAGGAGTCCAGGAGCTGTAATATAACCCTATGAGGGCCACATGTTGCCTGTGGGTGCCAGTTCAACAGCCCTGATTCAACCCACTTCTTTTCCCTCCTTCCCGCATGTCCTTCAGCACCATTTAATACTAAGTGGTTCTAGCTTATTATAGGCTTTTTCAGTAAGTTCTTAGGAAAAACAACAACAGGAATTTTGACCTCTGAAAACAGTGGTATAAAAGGACAAAGGATGTCTACAGTTATGATCAGAGCATGGCATTGGGAAGTTGCAATATTATGGCTTTCATAGATGTGCGCTTGGGAGGAGGGGGAGCAGGGGGGAGCTTTAACTAGAGTGACTCCAAGACCCACTCCAATTAAAATGCCCAGAGTGTCACGTGTATCAGTGTCCCCATGCTGAAAAATGGCAATGGAGGCACTTTAGTTAAAGCACCATTTAGTAAAAGGAGCTTTAGTTTTTTTTCATTTTTTGTCATTTTTCAGCAAGGGGATGCGGGTACACATGATGCTAAGAGTCAGCTGGAGCACAGTAGTTACCATGCTCCTGCAGACGCGATTAATCGAGTCTGCTCTGACACACTGTAATTACAGTGCCTTGGAGCAGCCTCAATGTATGTGTATAGGCACCCTTAAGTTTTATGTCAAGCTCTTTTATTGATTTATCAGTCACCTTAAATGGGACTTGGTCAGTTAGAAGCCATAGAGAGAATATAATATTGAGAGATTTACTTAATGTTTGTGAAATGTTTTCAAGCCTGTGGGTGAATGATGTGGTAGCATTTTATACTAGGAGCCTGATCCCTGATACAGGTATAAATGTAAAGGAATGCTACCAGCTACATGAAATTTCTCTAGACTTACTCCAGGTTAATTGAGATAAAAAGCTGGTGCAGTATAACTATGAGTAGTAGTACTACGAAGTGTAAGTATGAGAAATACTTGTAGAAGCTTCACCAATGATAGTTTACTGTTGATTTTATGTTGCTTTCTTTACTTTGGCTTTTAAATAACTTTAGGTCATTTAGGTCTGATTCAAGGCCCAATGGAGTCTAGACCCCTCAGACTGGGAATTATAAGACTGGCCAAAATTAGAAGCTGATTAAAATATAAACACGGCACTAGCATATGATCACAACTTGGGGTAGCTTGTACTTGCACAGGAAGGAATATTACTGTGTAGGAAACAACCTCTACCTTTTAACTGGGAAAGAAATGGAAACAATTTAGTGGGACAAGTGACTGTTAAACATAAGACATTATAAGCAAAAGTGAAAGAAATTCACATAGGGCAAAAACTATGCCCTACAAACAGAAGCCCCCTGGTAAGTGGCAGTGACTTCAATTCCTCCTTTGCCAGGTAGCCATCATCCTGCAAAACAGGGATGGTGCTAGTTAGAAATGGCCTTGCTTAAGTTGACCAGGGGACGTGCTTATCCAGTATGTGCTCTTAACAGTAGTTTTCCAGGTCCCTTAAGGTTTGAGAAAAGCCCCCATTATAGAAATAACTACACTTATCCTTCCCTCCTGGCAAGGCTGACAGCAGAAAAGTCCTGATTAAATTTGACAGATGGCCTCTCATTCACTTTAATGGGAGTTGGAGTGGGCCCTTGCATGGGCTGGATAGTCTCATGTCACTTCAGCTAGAGCTTATTTAGCTTGCAGGAGTTTCTAGCGGGAGTCAGAATCTGCATCTGTAGAACAATTTCCATTCCTTCAAATATCGTATTTATTAATTCTGGCATTATTAATACCATCTCCCCCCCAACTAGAAAACACAGAGCAAGACAGGATGAGAAGAACACATGGCTCATACACAAGAAGCAGACCAGCTGTTGCTGGACCACTGAGCTGCTGGTTGCGTAGCAACACTTCACCTCTCTGCCTGCAAAAACGGTTTGGGAAGGGACTAAGTTACGAAAATATAAATGAGAAGATCTGTTTGTGGTAAAATAAAGCAATTGCGCTCTAACCATTTGTTTCGACTCCCTGCTGAATCTCATCACCTGCCCAAGACTGCAAGCTCTTTATTTTCACTACATACCTGTATGTAGCACTTGCCACAACCCTGCCATCAGGGCCCCGAGACAACAGGGACACATAAAAACAACACGATGATGCCATGAATAATGGAGCCATACCATTTATATTTACCATGAAACTGGAATAGGGACTTTGATACTAGAGCAAAAGCAAGACAAGGAGAAAGACACATCATGCACATGTGAGAGCAGAGTTAGAGTCATGTGTATATCCAACTCACCACTTATCCATTTAGCCTCTGGGTCATGAATTTTGAAATCAGCACTGAACAGATCTTCCACGGTTATCTTTTTCTTTTGAGACAGGCTGTTATCTTCCACTGTAAAACATTTAGAAGCAAAGGCCTGTTATTCCTAATTTGAAATTTTTCTGAAAATAGAGCAGATCACTCCCCATTCTGAAATGATCTGCAGTTGAATACGTATGGCAGAACTTGGTAGCATGAATTTTCAGTGATGTTAAGACATCTTTATATGACCAGAGTGGTATAAAGGGACCTTAGCATAAATTAGAAGCAGGCCTCCACAGCCAGGAACCAATATCAAGTTCCCATGGCTACTGAAGGATCACAAATCAAAGTCTGTGGGGCTCCCCCACCCCAGGCGGAGAAAAGCATACACCATTATTAGTAGTCCTACTAATAGACATCGCTAGACATTAGACACTATTGATGAAATCATTTCCTAAATTAAGCATTCATATAGTTTTAGAGGGGGATTGTCATTAAACATCACGTAGGGCTTGACTAATAAAGGCATTTAGCAATATACATCACAACTTTGTGGGATTTAGAAAAGATCCTTAATAGGTATTACCCACTAAAGCTGTTTAGGTGCTTTGTCAATCCCACAATATGCCTGTACCTCTTCAGGTACCTTTATGAATCTGGTGCATGATCATTTTAAACAAAAAAGTCTAGGCAATTTTTGTTGCAGAGACATCTACAGCAGCTGAACAGTTCCTCAACCTTCAAACCTAGACTGCATGCACGTTATTCTAAAGACCTGGAAGATTTCCCAGTACAGAAGAGGACATCCTCAGCTTATTTCTCCCATAATGAGTCTCCTGATGATTCTACTTCTCTGGCCCCCAGACATGCTTCCAGTACAAGTTCTGCTGTTTCATATGCTGTCACCACAAGCACTCTGGCAGTAGGGCAAGACTTCAATTATAAACTCTTCACGTACCGAGAGGAGGAGAAGCAATTTCAAGATGTAAAATGTTGAACTGTTGGGGCGTGTCCAGATGTGCATGGATGTTTGGTTCCCCAGGGACAACTAGCAGTGGTGCACCTTGCACCACAGCTACTTGTCTCTGGGGAACGCCTGGGCTGTGCGCACTTCGGCGTGTGGCACGTTGCCCTGGGTGGGGTAGGGGAGGCTGGGCCCAGCAGCCTTACCTGGGGTCCTGGTAATCGCAGCCATGGCGATTATGTTTGCAGAGCCTGGCCGGCAGCCGCACCACAGCTCTGGGTGTCCTGGCTCCACTTTTCAGAAGGACATGTTGCCTGATTGTGCATTGCACCGTGTTGTTTTTTTTCCCCCATGGGTTTTTTTCACCCCAAACAGGTGTAAAAAAAAACCCATGGGAAAAAAAACCTAGTGCAGTGCATGCTCAGGCAGCGTGCCCTTGCAGCGTGGAGCACACTGGACTGTGCAGTGTGTGCACACATTTGCAGCGTGTCATACTGCACAACTGCGCTTGTCTGGATGTGCCCTTGTGGTACAAGAGACCACAAAATACCTGAAACTGCTGTGCCATTTGGGGTTGCTTAAAAGGAATCCTGTGAGGCTGGAACTCATCCAGGAACATAAGGAGGCAGAATAACAGAAACACGGGCAGGTGAGGCGCCAGCTAACTACCTGAACATGGCTGGATGGGGTTGGGCCAAATACTGTCTTGTCAGCATTATCATTATCACGGCACGGGGCTGGGAGGGGAAAAAGAGGCAAAAGTAGAAGCAAAGGCGAGCAGTACAGGAAAGCAGCTGTGGAATCCCACTCCCACCCTTTCTAATTCAGCTTGTACTGAAGGCATTTTTGCAGGGCTATGTAAACAGTGAGCCTAGCCTTGTGCATGATATAGTAGGGGAATTTTGTCCTGATGAACAGAATGACTGTATTTACTGAAGAGCTAAAACCTCTCACTGGCATTAAACGGCTGCCTTCTCAATGATCTTGACCAAGTACTAAAGTATTTTAATTTTTTTTTCCTTTTACACTGAATATTGAAAATCTTGACCATTTTTGGAATATGCTAAGAGATACTAAGAGATGCTTGCCGGATGGATAACAAAACAGTCTTTAGTGTCCTTTGGCCAACATCAAGACTCCTAAACATCTTTAACCATCTTTAAAAAAGGACTTCCAATTCCAGTATTTAATACAACACAGCATGCAAAAATAGGTAGAGCTGTTGTCTCCTCTGCACATGTCTGGTGAGTCCTGTTAAAAAACAGCACACTTACGCTGCAATAAAAATCTGGTGGCAAACCCAAGAAAGTGCAGAGAATGTTATGTTTTAAAACCTTAAAAAATACTTCAACTATCCAGGGTATAAGCAATGCTGACTTTAATTAATCAACTCTCAGAAGTCAGGCTGGTTGGAAAGGAGGGCACCGCAATTGTAGGAGCTCTTTGAGTGCTTGGCAGTAGAGCTTATAGTTAATTCTCAGAAGCTTAATGCATGATTAGCACGGTCTCTTCCCTACTAACACACCACTCGTGTGTATACTCACTACCATGCTCCATTATGATCCTCAGAAAACCTTCCATGAGAACATTGCACTGGTGCTTTGGCCTCCATACGGAGGAAACATATGCAGTATCCAAGGGTCCCAAATTATGTATGTAACTGTTTTGGAACTGCTAATTTACTTCCCCTGATAAGAATTCAATTTCTTACAAAAAAACAAAACAAATCAAAACAAAAATCCCCCAAAAACAAAACTGAAAGCTGATTTTTGGGGGGCCAAAAACTCTATATTTTAAAATTCATTGGGGTTTTTTGGTTTTCAGGCATGGAAAGCAAATTCTTTCCATGAAAATTTTGTTTCCAAGACCCAAGTTTCCTTTGAAAAAGTTGTGTTGACAGAAATGTTTTCACTTTCCCTTAGTAAAAAGATTAGTTTGTTAAAAGGAAGAAAAAATACTGCTGTGTTTTGAAGCTCCAGGCCTGTTTCTGTATGGCTCATCACTGTAGCATCTGAGTGCCTGAGGTGTGTTGGCATCTTATATCCCTAAGTATTTTACTATTGTTCAGTGCTAACTTGCTACGCAGGCTGAACACGTCCCCATTTAGATACAGCGGAAACAGACTCTTTCCAGCCAATTAATGGAGGAGAAAATGGCTTTTTACTTCACTAATCTGATGCACTGAGCTACCCACAGCCACTTAGTAATAACTAGGAGGCATGTTTGCTTCACTAACGGGTGCTAAAATTTCCAGTACTGCTTTTTACCAGGTTATGACACATTTTTCAGTTTTCCTGTTTTAAAGTATAGCTGAATGTTTAATTGTTCTACTCAATTTCCCCTCAGTTGCCCCAGGAACGAAAATACCCCAGTACAAGCTTTGCCAAATCCCTCGATGTAATAACATTATACATCTTTTCTGTTGTTTTCTTTATTAATTCAATTGAGCACCATGGGGTACAAGAATTCAAGGAAACCGATCTTTTCAGTTATAGGCCAAGCAGCAAGACGTTAAAACTTGGTGCCTGATGGCAGCAAACAGGGCAATTGCATATGTAGGGTAGGAACAGCAGGCAACCCAGGGCCCAACTGTTCAGATGTACCCACAGCCAATATGGAAACTATTTACCAGGAAAATCCACAGTGCAATGACGTTTAGATGTACATCGGGGCCCTGGTCTTCCAGCACATGGGGGAATGGGGTCCATGATACTAGTGTTGAAACCCAGGGATGGTGGTGGGATAAGGGCATGATGAGTCTTCCTTCCACAAAAGCCAGAGACAATTGCAAGCGCTGGAACTACTCCTCCTCTGGGACCACGGGTAATTGTACTACCTCTGAGGAAAGGGCAGAGCTACTCATGCCAGCAACCCTACAGATGGGCATGTTCACTTCTTGAGGTGCACCTCCAATCCAGCGCCAACTAGGCTGTGCTCCTGGGCACAACGCAGTCCATCATGTACTGGGGATAACATTCATCTCAGTTATGGAACTAGGCAATATTTTCAAAAATTTTTGCCAAAAGAGGAGAGAGATCAAAGGAGCCATTTGGCAAATCAGTTTCAATGTTGATAACCTGTCATCTCCTCCCCAAATCTCTAAATGCTTTGTTTCCGCAATTTCTCAATGAAATGCTTTGATTTTAAATGACCTTTTGGGTTTGAAATTTTCTCTAACTTCCAAAAAAAATCTTAACAAAGCAAAGGCCTAAATGTAAAATGAAGCCATTCACTTTGGGGCAAAGAAAACCTTGTTTGACCTCAACCTAGTGTTAATTTTTCAAAATTCTCAGCAAAAAAACAAAATCATTTATTTGCACAGCTCTGCTCAGCTAGTAACAGTCTGTGAACATTCATGTGACAGAGTTACTAAGTAGCCCATTCGTGCTTGGGAAGCTGGAATAAGAGGACTTGAACCAGCAATAAACCTTTATGGAAGGCACAATCCACACCTTTCCATAGATGCCTAAAAAGGGGTAAATTGAATTTTAGGTGCTTAAGTCACTAAAAGCAATCCAGATGGACCCTTCTCTAGCAGCCTGCTTTAGGAGCCTAAAATCATAAGGCACTTTTTAGCCTTAGAAGACCTCTAGATTTAGGCTTCTGAGTGTGGCCAGAAGTAATCCAGATCAAGTATCTCAAGTGGATGTTAGTCCTCAGATCCTTAGCACTCTGGTTTCTGAGTTGACAGAGGCACATAGTGTGCAGCCCTGAGTCAGGCACCTAAGTCCCAAAGATGCAGGAGGGCAGGCACACCCCAACCCACAGCATTTCTTTATTGGCCAGCTCTAGGTGCCTCCTTGCTGAGCCCCTTGGGCATGCTAGATGCCCCTCTGAAGGCACCCAACTGGCCCCATTCCCTGCAGAAGGTGTTAGTCCTGGGGGGAAGCATCTATTTTTAGGTGAACTGAAGCCTAAATGGAAATGCTCCTGAGGAAGCTCTGGATCTAGCTCTTTGCACTAGTTACAGAGGCCCGTGTTCCTGCAACAACAGGGGCCTGAAAGAGAAGAGCAAAAAATCAGCTCCATTTCATTTCTGTGTGAACACTGGAGGGTATTCGCCCCACTATTTTGGAACAGCATGAGTCATAGGAGGAGCACCAGACTGTGTATGACTCACTAGTGG